CTACGCAGACGACAACTAGATTTCAATTTTAGTGAAAGCACTTTCCGGAAAATTGTCGAACGAGCCGATCGCCAGTATTTTGATCACGTAACAGGCCATTTTACGATATACCACGGATTTATTTTACATTGCAAACTAAATGGAATTTTCGTACACGTGCTAATGTTATTATACAAGGCTTAATATAAACCAGGAATTTTCCGTGTTTCTGGTTATTCTCAAAGTCATTACGAGCCCGACGTTGCTTTAGGGAAACACAAGATAAGATTTCGTATGCTTAATCGCAAGCCTAGACAAACAAAGCTGCGCGCAAACGTAATAGAAAAGTCAGATTTTATATTATTTTTGTCGAAAACAAGTCGCGTTTAGTTGCGGTTTTGTAAGCAGAAAAAAGGTAGATAGGTATCTGATTTCTTAACAAAAAAACCTTGCGTTTTGAATCACTTCAAAAAAGGATTATCTCAGTTTGACCAGTAGATATGTATGGATGTATACGTGTATCTATGTATGTTTATGCGCGGTTATCTCGCGATTGGCTGAACCGAATATGTTGCGGTTTTCAGAATAGTGCTTATTACACTTAGGTGAAGGTTTTAGTATATTACTTAACCGACTTAAAGAAGAGGGGGGTTAAAGTCGGCTTTTTAAAAAACCTACTTAGTTTATGAAAGAATTTTTAACATTCAAGGATATAGAATAGCAAGGAAATACTAAAGTAGTTTCAGAACTGGGTAAAGTAAACAGATCGGGTCGGTTTAATTACTATCGTCTTGGAAAACTGAAATCAAATCTCTTGGCTAACTCAAGTTACAGTCTGATGAGATGAAAAGCATTGATACATTGTTTCCTATAGGTACTTTTTATCAGAACAGCGTGAGAAACAAAGATTTAGATCAGAATGCAATGTTTAAATGGCAGATAAGTCATCTGTAGTAAATAAGAACAATGTTTTCACTGGGCGTGTTTCACTCAAATCATTGTGTGGCGCACCACAGTGAAAAGAAATCGAGAGGGCTTTCATTGTGTGGCGCACCACACTGGAAAGAAATCGAGAGGGTTTTTGTTACAATTCTATAGTTCCGATTATATGCTGAGCTGTCATTTAGTTTCATTGGGTATACTTAGATACCCGTTAAAAATGCCCAAAAATATAAAATCCTCAAGCACACATTGTAGAATAAAAATAATTTTTATCTTGGTTTTTTTACCGACTGCAAAAAAGAAGAGATTCAAGTCGGTTATTTTAAACTTAGTTTATGAAAAAATAATAAATTGACAAATCCTTTATGCTCCGCTAAGAAAACCCTGCCACCAGTCCACAAAAGTAGCACGACTATTTCTATCATTTCCTTACAATCACGTATCTAGAGTTTCTACGTGTTTATCCCCTTAGGAACAATACCAACAAAACTTCGTAGCAACTAATTGGCCAACTTCTGTACACTTTAACAACTAGTTGAATTATGTCCGGACTGAAAAAGTTTCAAGTTTCAACCAAGTATTCGGATTTTCTCATTCGTCTTAAGCTGAGTTTACCAGCTCGAACTCCCCAACAAGTTGCAGTTAATGTAACCTCAATTTCGTTTGTACCAATAAAGATTTCTTTAATACTTTACTGTCTTTCCTAAGATAAAAGGATCTAATGCATTCATTGTTTAAAAAATTAAAAATACGGTTTTAAATGTAGGTATGTCCTTGTCATCAGGAGAAATGAACATAAATAAGACATATTACTTAATTTGTATAATGAGCTCGGTCAACTACGACGAAAAAACAAATGACACGTCAATGACGTCAGACACAAAACGACAAGGGCAGAAATAAATCGTGTACTCTTTCTAAATCCAAATTATTGCCGCCTTTAGAACAATGTGAAAAAAACAAATGACAGATCAATGACGTCAGACCCAAAATGACGAGGGCAGAAATATATCGTGTTCTCTTTCTAAATCCAAATTATTGCCGCCTTCAGAACAATACAAAATAAAAACAAATGACTGAAACAATCTTTCTAAATCTAAATTTTGTCCGCCTTTAATTAATACAAAGTAATAATATTCTGGTTCCGTGTATCTTACGGAAATAGTTGAACGTGTTTTAACATACATAATATAAACAGTTTGAGCCAAATATATTCAGTTTAAAATAAACTAGAATATATGCTTTTTATCGCATGACCTCTTCAACGGTGGCAGTCAGAGGTTTCATCCGTCACCTTTCAGTTTCACCATCAGATCAGATTAGGATTACTCCATAATATTGTGTGGTCATCTTATTTACATACAATTTCCAATTTTCATGATGATGACATGACAACAATAAGAAGTACTACGTGTAATTCTGATTATTTAATTTTATAACATAGTTCAATGTTCAAATAATAATGTCATAGTTCAAACAATAAAAGCGTGTTAATAAAAGAAAAGCGATAGCACATATTTGTAATTGTGATCATGAATCAGATCCTGATGAGAACCTTCGCTATTCACATAGAATTGTACTCGAGTACTACTTACCGTGGACACAAAGCTGCTATACAGGATCGCAATACACCATCTGTTGACAGCGTAGCCATGGAATTCAAGTTCGATTGATCTTCGAGAGATTTTCCATAGCAGGCCGCATTGAGAGGCCGACGGCATTGAGTTGTTATTGTGTGTGGCGAGGCAGCCAGTAGCGAGGTAGCGAGGTAGAGCGCTTGTACGAACGCGAGGTCGACGGCCGCGGCCGAGGGCTCCACGCGGGGGTGTGATACGGGGTTGCTTTGCACTTCCACCTCGCTGCACTCATTTCCGCATAAATACTACCTGCCTCGCCTTATCAAGATGTAGGCCTATCGTGATTCGTGATACGCATCTCTCACTGATTAATTTTAGAGAAAAGAATCTGTGAATCTAATAATTACATGTCATTAACACAATTTTATTTGGTACCTAATACATTAAATCTAAAGCACAATAAACTGTACCCCGTGACCACTAACAAAAATAAATTACCAGCTAAACCGACTTCGTCCAACTAATCAGCACAAACCAGCTCCGGTTAAAAGGAGAAACGCAATTTGAAGTTCCCCTTAAAAGTTTCGAAAGCGCAGGAGTGTGGGTGAAATAAAACAAAGGCAGGCACGCGCCCGCCGCGGCACTCATGCTGAGTGCTCTGCTTTGTGGCAGGCTGGGCGATACAATGCAATACGCGGTACACACACTAACAAGGCCCAAGTCTACTGAGCATAGCCAAGTAGGCTTCCACCGGCATACGCGTCCGATGCGGAACCGATATTGTGTTACCTGCTAAATGTAAGGCCTCCACAATACGTTGCTACTATATTTAGTTACCAAGAGAGGTATGCGATACTAGTCATGTTTCGGCAAAGTATATTCGGACTCCGTTTTATATTAGATGCTATATCTACCTATCGTTACAGTACACTCAAATTCTTTTGCAATATTCAATTTCATCGGTTCAAGTTCTAAATAAATTGAACCAATGAAATCTTTCCAAAAAAGCATTTCCACTTGATTGTTGGTGTCCTTACGGTCGACTGTGCAGCGAGGATCATTAGTGAGGTGAACACTAATGATCCTCTCGATCGGGACAGATCGCCGGAGGAGACAAGCCGCTCCATCGAGATAGCGGAGACTTCACCAAATATCGGATTTTCCGTGTCAAGAATTCATAACAAGAATTTTACAAAAGCTCGCCTCACGCCTTCCAATCACTCTTGACTTCTCGAGCTTTTAAATATTTCTCAATATTCATGCCTTACTGGTGGAACAGCATTTGATCTTTATTTTCTTTTCTATTTTTAAATAAATGCAATGTAATTTTGATTGATTATCTTAAATTCTTATTTTTAAATGAAATCTTTTACGACATTATACAGCAGTTTATTGGGCAAAATATGAGCATGCCATCTGACGGCTAGCGGACACCCTACTCCGCGCAGGCTTATCGAAAGATAGCGAAAGAGCACTCTTCTATGTAAAGGGTTGCTTTGTACCTCCACTAGAACCTCTTTTCAGACGTGAAGACGTGCTTCCATCAAAATATAGGTACCTACCTATTCTGCTTAACAAGTTGACAAATTAATAAAATTAAATTTATATTTCAAAACTTGCTTAACGATAATTTTGGTATGTTTTCTTCGAAAGACTATTTTTGTTACTTTTCTTGACCTTTAGAACAATACATGTTGTAGGTGTATCTTTACATATACTGATAAGTTAGGGATGAACCGTCCAACGCCCACCTACTCTTACAACATATACTGGAGGTTATAGTTACAAAAAAAAACATTATAATTAAGGAAGTAGGTATGGTTTAAATTCTGAACAAGATGAAATGTTAAAACTGTTTAGATACTGGGTAGATGAACAGACGCCATTGTTCAGACAAATAGGTACAATAGAAACGTTTCTAGATAGAATGAACGTAATAGAGCTACATCACGGTTGATTGATATAAGGATGTAACTATATCGTTATCCTCTAATTCACTTCTAATGGAACAGTTAAGGAACCGTTCTCGAGGCGGGGCCAGTCCTCGTGAAGGAAATGAGTTCAATTTACCATTATCTCGGGGAATTGAGTGGTGCGACCTCGCTCGCCACTTGTTATACTGACTTATTTAGTATGACAATCCAACTAGAAAACCATCACGGAAATTGCACGGTTGCAAATTGGGTTCGCTCTAGTGCTACGGCGGGTGACTTATTGAATCAGATTTTATTGAATACTGAGCTTTAGGAACGTGGACCTCCTGTTTTAGCTTTGTAAATCAGAGCTGAGTGCAGCGCACATTTTCATGCAGTGCGTTTAATTTACTATTAATACGTAATTACACGTCTGAATACACATAGATTTTTAAGGCTTAAATGATGATATATTTTTAATGGCTAACAAGTAACATAACATAATCTCGCATGTTGTCCTAATACTATGAAGGGCTTCTTTATTATGAATTAGACCAGTGTTGTTTAATATGTATGTGGTATGTTACAGCGGGTGTGATGACGTGCAGCGTTCGCTGGAGCTGTTGGACCAGGTGCTGAGCGAATACGACGAGGGCGAGCCGAGGTCGCTGGAGGCGCGTGCGCAGGTCACACCGGCCACGCCCGCCACTCCCGCAACGCCAGCCACCGACGACGACTCCCCGCTCGCGGGACACACCTCCGAGGACGATGGATACATGAGCATGAACGGAAGGAGGTGAGAAAATATAAAACATTAATTAAATAAAAATAATTAAATTAACCGGCTTAAGCCGGTAAACGAGCAGACGGATCACCTGGTGGTAAGCAATCGGCACCGCGCATGGACACCTAAAACGCTTACAAGTGCGTTACCGGCCTTTTGAGGATTGGGGATTTGAGGATTGTGGAGGATTGGGGGGAGACTGGGGAGTAATTGGGCCTCCGGTCACCTTACTCACACGACGAAACACAACGCAAGCGTTGTTTCACGTTGGTTTTCTTTGAGGCATTAAATTATGTAATTGGCATAAACATAATAGTATAATGGATGATCACTATCTTGTAAGGGTGCTTCAATTTTACGACGAAAGATATCTGAGCTGGTACCTATTAATTTTTCGATCGCTATACGGCCTGTGAACTCTTACTGCTGATAAAGGCCTCTCATATGGAGATGAATGATTTTCAACTATTTCAATTTTAAGAATGATAGAATTCAATCTTGTTTTTAGCATAACTACTATACATTTTCTAATGTTTCAGAGCGAAGTTCGCGCTGGGTTTCCGTCCGACGGAGGAGCGCGAGGAGCCTTCGCCCCCGGATCCGCCGTCACCACGCTCCCCACCGCCTCCTGAAGAGGCCCAGCGCATTATCTCCACGTTACTACCCAAGTAATTACACCCTTTTTTTACAACATCATGCCTTTTGATATTTAGACAATAGAAGAGGTGTACGATCAGAATATGGCATTCAGTTATCACCAGTTTATGTATGCAAACATCAGCAATATTCGGTTTATTCAAAATATCTAAAATGGAAAATCCACCGTGTCCAACCCAGAAATCGAATCGAAACTCCTTCTTACTATCAAGATAAGAAAATAAGATACGCATAAAGAAACCATCTCCAACATCGGTTGGAAAAGTATCGACATTTCCCAGTAAAAAAAAATTCTGAAAACAGAATTATCTAACAGCTACAATCTTCTAAAGACGTCGTACAGTTAAACAGTTTGCTCACAAAGTCACAATAATGTTACAGAGTGTCACCGGCGAACTCAGCAAAGCGAACGATATCAGTGGAACAGCGCGAAGCAGAGGAGAGACTGGACTCCATCATCAGCGTCAATGGGATAACCACAGCTACACAAACCACATTTGTAAGTAGTTTATACTTTAGAGGTTATTAAAAAGATAGACCAATTGATTAGTATTATATATTTATCATATCATTGAGCGATGGATGGATATGGCGTAAGGGCCATCCCTTTACGCCATGAAAATAGCATAAACAAAAATAATTTATTCAAATACATACGTTGCTAACTCTATTATCTTTAAACTAACTATTTGATTATAGTACACTGACATTTACTGTTTACGAATTTCAGCCGAAAACCAGACATCAAAGACCTTACGGATGGGAAAAAGACACGGAAGCTAACGGGTTCCAGCTCCAGCAGCCTCCAGTTCCTCCGTACAGGTTCGCATCGCTGCAGCACGGGGCGCGCCCGCCACAGCCTGACGCCGCGCTAGCCTGGCTCCCGCCGCGACACAACGCACCGCAAACCAACCTAAAGAAGTCGCCGAGTGTCGAGAATCCGCCTGTATTCCCCTTCATGGGTTTCTCCAGTGAATTCAACGACAAACCATACAATGAACATCCAGTCACAATATACCCAGGTCCAAACATACAATTTAAAAAAGAATCTCATTCACCGACATACAATATACCAAAAATTTCACCTTCCAACACAAAAAGTTCAGAAAGAAAGAACAGCATGAAACGCGACAGTAGGTCGGACGGTGAAATGTTATCACCCAAAGGGAAAATACCTCCCCGAACTCTCGCCGGTTCTATGGAGCGACATAGAGAAGTGTGTAGAGGATCTACGGAGGACATGGTTGTGAGCTGTAAGAGGAGAAGTTCAAGTAAGAGTAACGACGAAGAGCATTTTTCGGACGATTCATTAGAAGAGTCGTTCCCACCGCCGCCGCCCGCTGCTGTTACTACGCCTTCGAAACGCAATTCCATAGCATGGGAAGTGTCACTCGATGGTGATGACCCTCTACTTACTCCAGGAAGCACAAAGGTAAAGTTAGTTATGTAATAAATAACACAAAATTAAAATTGCTGATATGGAAAGCTGTAACTTCGAAACATAAAAAGCATGAATACTGAAATCCTTTCATTGCACTACCACAGTTCTACTATTATTAAACAAAATATTTCATTTCTTACAGGTAATAGGTCGACGAAGGAGAAAATCAGGTGATCAGTCCCATTCTAGCACAAGCTCAATACCACAAAGAGTAGATGATGACTGGGGAGAAGAGTATTGGCCCCCACCACCTCCACTGACACAATGTGAATCTCTTATTTCGCCTAATTCAGATGCCGAGCAGGAAAATCGGCGTGCACAAGACCTAGCTTGTGGTACATATGTTATAAGAAAAGGCAAAAATCGTAAGCAACTACCAAGTTTCAATAAGAGCACGACTAGTAAGTCACCCACCAATCTACTCAATAGTCACAGTTTGAATAGAAGTTTAGATGCTGACAAGTCTATTGACGGGTCGAGCATATCAATCAGTGGCTCTGGATCAGTAGGCTCATACAACTCTCGACCGAGTTCAGATTTAAGTTTGCCGCAATCTCGTTATAGTGTTGACTTGAACTCCAGACTGAGCCGTGAGCTTAACACTCCAAACTCTAGATATAGTATAGATCTCTGCACACCGAATTCTAGACTGAGTAAAGAAATAACATCGCCAAAATCTCGTCTTAGTTTAGATCTTAACAACGGCCCAGATAGATATATCACTCAGGAGTATTTCGGTCACAGTCCGAAAAGTAGAAAAAATCACAGTGAGAAAGGTACATCTAAAATTCAGAGCAAGCTATCGCCACAGAATAGATTTTCAGACTTTAAGAAGTATTCATCGACTTTCGATAATATTCAGTCACTTATAAGAGAAGGAAAGGTAGAGGAGACACCTCCGACGGAATGTAACGAAACCGTCAATGAACTGACCACGGTGCCTCCAAACATGGTGCGAGTGGTGTCTCTGCCGAGTCTGGGTGCAGAGGGAGAGGGTAACAGCTCCAGCCGCCAGGCGCTCATCACCACAGTGGAGGAGGAGGAGGACGCCGACAGTGCCGAGCCTGGCTCCAGCGGCGACACCTCTCCTCTGCGCAAAATCGAAAACAATATTAGCGCTATATTAAGTCAAGGTCGGGACCAAAAACATTTTACCCCATATATACCTAAAGACTGGAATATCCATAAGGATGAATACTGTGATGACGTATCTAAAGATATATTAGAAAACAATTTCCGTTATAGTTCTAGAGAGAGACAAAAGAGACATGATATTCAGAAGTCGTCGAGTCACAATGAAATACAGAATCAACGGTCAATAGATCGACGTGACCGTTCCAAGAGGTCAAATAGTATGCATAAATCCACAAGCGCCAAAGATGTACCAGTTAGTTTGATGCGGCAACCGTCATCATCTGACTCCGCTGTGTCGAGTGGAGGAGACTTCCCGCTGAATGTTCAAATAGTTGAGCACTCCTATAGACATCCTCCGCTGCCGCTTCCTCCATCACCAATATTAGGGCATGAAATGGGACCCCTACCGCAAACCCCAGAATCGCCTAAGTTTCCTCCGTTGCCTCCCTCACCTGTGCAAGAAGTTGAAGATGAATATACAGAAATTATGCAACCTTCAGAGAAGCGTCATGTGAAAAAAGCAGATACGTTACCGACGCCAACGATGGAATCAAGGAGAAGGTAATAAACATTGTTTTAGTCAAATAGGAATATATATTTTAAGACATTTAATAAATATTTAACACCATTTTGTGAAATTTATAGGCCTTCCGAACCCCCAGCGGTACCGCCGCATCGAGATACCACAAACAGCCTTAAGACGCGGTCTATGGAAACCAGTTACAACAAAAACAGAAGAAGCAGCAGTAACTTCAAGACTGGATCAACAGACAGAAGAACTTTACCTACTGGTAAGGAGTAATACCATTTTGTCTATTTTCTTATTACGAGTACCTAAATAGAAATTAAAATCATTGGGAGAAGCAATGGAGCAAGCTCATAAACATTTTTACGTGCATTTTTTGTTCTTTTTTTATAATGTCACACCTTTTATCCCCGAAGAAGTGGACAGTGCATATAATGGCAACATATATACACAATATAACACTAGAGCTATTCTGTTATAAGTTCTGTGTAATAGCAGATAGCAGCCATATTGTATCTTTTCGCTTATGGGGCGCATTTTCGACCTCGCATTTATATTTTTAAAAATAAGAGCAAAGCTCTGCTTTTCGGCTATTGTTCTGATCTTGACGAGTTTACCTTACTGTTATTTTAAGTAACATAACATAATATCTCGCCTTTTATCCCCGAAAGGGTAGGCAGAGGTGCACACAACGGCACTTAATGCCACTGTATATACCTCTATAATACACAGTAACACTCACTTTTCACTATTTATGTTATGAGTCCCATGTAATTCCTATTATATATAGCCTATTGCCACATACATATTATTTTAAGTAACTCAATATAAATTCAAGAAATTTAAACAGCATATCCATATTATATATTAACAATAAAACGAGTTATAAATTTTGAAGCGCTAAATATAAATAACCTACTCTATTGTAAGACTTCTCAAGTTTACAGAGACTAGCATGATAGTACTGAAAATAGTAAAATAACATTGTATACTTTTAATTTCCAATGTTGGTGATAAAACTTTGAACTCTGAAAGAGTGATTCCTTCACAACTTCAATAGTCAGATAGGCATAATTTTGCAAATTCTAGATTTGGAGAATTTTATAATTCTTTTTTTTTGACATTCCTTAACTGCTTGAATGCACCGGTATGAGACACATTACCACATGAATTGAATTGTATCTCGCGTGAATTCGCGTTTAAGCACACGACAGGACATATTATTTCATGTTCTGTTATTTAATTAGTCTATGGGACCTACAGATAGTGAAAAATAGGTGTTAGGTACATTGTCCCTGTTATGTTATCTAATTCTACCTTTTCCTTCTGGAATTGTAATATCATCATGCACAAATAAAAAATCTTTCTTTCTTTCTTTCACACTGGATTTTGATGATGATTTGAACATGATTCAGTATTTGAACACTAATTTGGAGTAGTACGGAATTAAATTTGCGTTTGTGGGGTGCCATGATAATTCTTATATTTAGTCATAATGACTCGGGTAATTACCACGTTTACGTCATCTAAAACGAAATCTATTTTACACACAGCTACCATTTTATACAAATTCTTAGATGGCGCCACCTTCGCCAAAGCATGAATTATGTTTATTTTTTAAATAAATGCAATCACACATACCTAGAAACGTCCCATCTTTTAATCATCTAAAGGGTGGCCAGACATTTATTTTAAAGTTCAATAAAACGATTATAAAACGCTAAAGTAATTTATTAATGTTCACCCTATAATGACAGACAATATTGCCTTGGCATGTATCATAATTAATTAAAATAAGTACTCACGCAATTCAATTTTAATCTCGAGACCAAAGAGAAGTCAATGGTTAGAAAAAAATGTTTAGTATACACCTATGTAAAAAAATAAATCGCCTTCGTTTTCGGTACATCATTGATTATTCAAACTCTACAGATTTCAGTTACTCGATAAATAGATGATTTTTTTCGAAAACACTTAATTGGGTATTTTACTAACTACGGTGGATGGACTTTCATCAAAAATACTAACCTACTTTCCAATTTGTAACTGTAATCGACTTTGTATTTCAGATATCGGAGCGAGCGGCGCTAGACGTAGGACGCTACAGAGACAAAATCGCGAAGCTACCGCAACTGGCCGGGGTCCTTTGCAGACATCTGCCAGTCTGCCTGAGACACCAGTATTTGCTCGAGGATGCGACGTTCCTCGCACCCCACCGAGAAACTCTACGGGACCCCCCAGGAACAATACAATGAACTCCATACAGTCAATAGGTTAGCTTTTTTTCATCTATTTAAATCTAGACACAAATAGAACATCCACATGTCGATCCGCACGTCAACACACACATGATGCTCCAGTCCAAATAGATAATTTTTTACTGGGACTTTGGTACCAGTATAATGTGATGTTGTTTGTATTATTATTAATTATGAATAACATAAAATATATTTATGGAAGAAGGAAACTGTTAGATATGAAGTTCGTTGGCTTCATTACCAGTGTAGTGTATAATAATAAATTATTTTATGTTAATTTATAAACTGACTGACTGCCAGGTCAGTCAATCAATATGGCCACAAGCACGATACGGGTTCAAACTCGGGTCAGATATAGCATTACTGGATTTGTTCAGTTATTAGAAAATACTCAGTTATCACACGAAATATGGAATTTACCTACGGACTGCATCGGTGTTTATAACATAACATAACATAACATCACGCCTTTTTATCCCCGAAGGGGTAGGCAGAGGTGCACATTATACCACTCTGTACAATGTAACACCCACTTTTCACTATTTATGTTATGAGTCCCATGTAATAGGGGGTGAGCCTATTGCCATATACCGGGCACAATTCCAGACTCCGTGCTACTACTGAGAATATTTAAAAAACCCAGTAATACTTTGCCCGACCCGGGAATCGAACCCGATTTACTAAAAATAAGTGTTAAAATATAAACCTTTAGACCTTTAGGAATACAGGCTTAACGTAAAGTCATGTCAGATATTTAAACCTTTACGAAAAACCTATGACAAACGATAATGTAATTTAATTTGCATACGCTATAGTTATTTTCTATTTTAATTAACAATAACACTTGTATAATTAGAATCGTCCTTTACTGTAACTACAAAACAAACAGGTAATTTGCATGTAGATAGTCCAAGTCGGGTAAATTGCCTATTAACACGACAAGTACTAATAATACCTAAAAACTATAATCGTGGCATTCGAGGCTATGATGTCATGCATGGTGTGTGGTATAATAATGGTAGTAAACATGATATTGTTGTTTCCATCGCTCTTCATTCGCCATATGTGGCTACTTATAGCTTTTGTATTTTGTATGAAGCTAGAGCATGATGCTATTCATGAAATCCATCTACTAAAGACTAGCGATACTGGCGCGGTTTCACCCGCTCTGCTCGGCTCCTATAAGTCATAGCGTGATGTTTTATAGCTTATAGCCTTCCTCTATAAATGTACTATTCTGACACAAAAATAAATGTTAAAATCAGACCAGTAGTTCCAGAGATAAACGCGTTCAAACAAACAAACTCTTCAGCTTTATAATAATAGTTTAAGAATAAGTTCTACGGTCAGTATCATTTCCTTGTCAGTGTGATCGAATATGTCTAATATTACAACATCACGTTTTTTGCAATTATTGAAGGTACTTACTTATCTACTATATAAAAATAAGTCGGGGTTCATTCCTGACGCTATAACTCCAGAACGCACGAACCGATTTCCACTGTTTTGCATTCGTTGAAAAGGTATCGGGCTCCGTGAGGTTTATAGCAAAGAAAATTCAGAAAAAAGAAAATTCTTAATCTTTTAATCACCAAACAAAATGTTACGTAAAACGAAGCCATCTGGTGGCGAAACGGAGTTCGCTGGGTTTGCTAGTATATTATATTTATTCATTTATTTTCGCATATACAGTACACAGGAAAACATATATTAATAAAACTGTAGTACATAGGTACTTTTTTGCAATACTTGTTAGGTAAGCGATATTACATCCTTACTACATTATCGCTTATTAAAAATATTGAAAAACAATTATAGATTCCATAGTAAAAAATTATGCATAAATTGGTTGCCTTAACAAAGTTAAATAGACAAAAACATTTTAAAAACGTTGTTATGAAGTAGCGTTTGCTTAATGTATGCAATTTTTATTTTCACGATTATTTATGAGGGATAGGCACGGCCTAAAACTGCATATTATATGGACACCACTGGCTATAAGGATACGGTGACAAGCCATCGCGGAGAACCTAACGGGTAACCGGGGCTCCGGCTCGACGTGCAGGAGAAGGAACGGGGTGATTTTTAGTCAGTAAGAGTCTGACACTCCCTTCCGCCTCACCCAGGCGGGAGCAGTCATTCGATAATTTTCCCCCCTTAAAAAAAAAAAGCCCTGGTAATTAATTTAATACTGACAGCGGATGCTTTCGACTGTTTTTTTAAGCACTTTTACCGCAATAGTTTCAATAATTTACTTAATTTCCTGGAATTTACATTATAGGAAAACCAAACAAGAAATACGTTATTAGGCCAACAGGATCTGTTGTCGTTTATACTTGAACATACGTGCTTACCTACCATCATAACTACATACGGAAAATAAAATATAATTATATATTTTTTGGTCTTCATGTGCCCTATTAACAATAATAGCTAGTGCTTAGCCTAGTGCCTATACTGGCCCATATATTTCTTATTTAAAATTCTATAATATTTAGAAAACTAATGAGAGGTCAGTTGTTTGGCATTTTTTACTCGACTATATTCCAGCCAAACTAGGGTCTCATGTTGATGACCAGTATTTCAAAGATACATAAATAAACACAGTACGTAAATTAAATTTCTTTATTTTGATACAGGAAGCTCAGCGACATTGGGTGGATATGGTCGGGGTTCCGTGATGGGTGCTACGGGAGTCTGCACTGGAGCCGACCTGCTGCGGCTGGGTGGACCACCACGGGGCTGGTATCCTCGCCAGAGACACAGGTATAAATTTTAATGTACTATGAAAGATATGTATAACAGGCATATTTAAATCTTTATTGAAGGTTTTTCTTTAGTCACTTTAATCATTAGCCTAAAAATTCTATTCTAGTATTATTTAATATTCTTGGGAATGTAGAGATGACAATCGTAATCAATCGTTCCATATAGATACTGCTTCAACCAATTCTGGATAAGAATTAAATTAATTGAAAGATTAAAACGAATCGCTGCAATGTACCTAAGTCTTAATGAAAATGAGAGAACAATCGAATAAAAAACTTCATCCGGAATGAAAATTTGCACTTTAACTTTAACCTATATAATGTATATAAAAGCCAGAATATATAATAAAAGTCAGAAATCATCCAAAATATAGAACACTTAAACAAATACCAAAAGCGGCAATTTTGCTTTCGCAAGTACCTACTTTTATTTTTGTCCGTTTTTTAAATATTTTTGTAGGTACTCAACTAAGCACTAGGTAGCTAGGCAATGGCTACACCATAATTTATTGTTTAATACAAAATAATAAAACCAGGCAATATGAACCTTACGCCACGGTATTAAAAATCTAGTATAATAAATAAGGCAAACATGCAGCTGTAGATATTAACAGGAGAATTTGAAATGTGTGATCAGACATTAGTTGTTAATATTTTTTCCTCAATTTGTGAATACCAACGTCCTTATAATTGTTCCAATTCCAATTAACAGACGTGTTAATTAAATCGGAAAACGAATGTATAACAATAGCTATAGAAATAGTACTGAAATAGATAAAACTCTTTTTGAACTGGGTATTTATTGGAACCTTAAGCTCTCCCTATTACTGCATTACAAGTAGGAGATAGAAAACAAGAAAAGAAATAATACCTATCTTATACTACTAATTAGATACTATTTGTTTCATGTAATAATGGATGATAATGCCTACGGCATTAAGTTCACCTTATGGACGATTGCGCATGAAGCGTTTAAAAAATAATATCGTGAACATTAAATTAATTTTGTATATTGTACTATATTTAAGTCTGATTACTTTAAGAATAGAACCAGCTAAGATGTCACCAAACCACAGACCACATCGAGTTCACAAAGAAATTAAATACGTTTATAACATTTCGTGATGTGAATTTTTCGTGATAGATAGCTTAATATACCTACTAATACCTAACAAAATAAGTAAGCTAAGCTCTAATTAGCACTCTAACAAATGTGCTTGCTGACAGGCCTGCTTCAACGGAGCACCTGGACCGACTAACAACCTCGTCAAAGATGGCGGTGGAGCACCCAGTGGCATGGGAGGGCAGTGGTGCCCGCAAACCTCTCACACTGCCACCCAACCTGACGCCAAAGTTCTTCCAGAAGTCACCCAGGGAGGCGCTTCGCAGGGTAACCAGCTTACTAATACGAAAAGGTGAGCTAATATTACTACTTATTTAAATTTTTATACTAAAACATATGACGTCTACATTACTATGCAGCCCTATACGGAAACTTATACTACGTCAGCTGTTTCTCGGACAGTTTGTGTCACCACATTCTAATCTAGTATTTCATATCTTATAATCATTCAAATAGTAGATATCTGTCCACACATTTCCACAAACAGGTTCCACAACCTGGAGCTATCTTGTCAAAGACATCTTGGTATAGGAACTAATAAGAAGGTATGAAGACACTGCAGATTGTGCTCCTTATGCGATGAAAGATGGAAGTAATAAATAACATTATAAGTATATTTGTATTACACTCACCGTAGAATAATATGCGTGATTTATTTTATCAAACCTCTCTTATTTCTGCTTCATTCTATGTGACAGTGAACTCCGGATATAGTCCGGACTGATAGCCTGAACTATATTATTATGCTCATATAGATGTGTGTGGATTGAGTTCAGTCGATTGTCTTTTATCAACCGTTTGTCAAACTATTATTGAGTTTAACATAAATATGAACTGACTCGTGAATAGCGAGAAGGTTAATCGGGATAGTTTGTTCCTAGGTCGCTACCGATTACTCTGATTAAGAAACAACTTGCTTCGGTGATTTTAATCGTAAACATAAAAGACAAAGTTATTGACTAACTTTACGTATTGTTCTGAGAAATTCAAGTCAAATACGACACTGAAACATCTACGCGAACAGTATGAATGACATAGTTATAGTACGGTCGGATGAAAATAGCTCTACCAAACATCCAGCTCGAGATTGCATTACATGCGTATATCGCCTACGCTGGATCGCCAAGCTCATGTAAATCACGAAACCGATCGAACGAACATGAACCAAATCCCTGTAATAGCCCGTTCTGTTGTTCTAGCAGCGTTTTATTTACAACATCCGTAGCTAATTATAATAATTTTATCGTGACTGTATTTTACATTTAAATTCGATCGTTTCCCCTTAGTTTGTGATATCATAGTTCCTCACAATGTTTCAACCGGACACACCCTGTGATTACCTAACTAACAATCATTCAGTATGTTTATTCTGCTAATTTCAGTTAAACACAGATATTTTTAATATTTACCCACTCAAAAATAGGTAGGTAGTGTTTATTTTACAGATTATGTAAGCAGTTAAAATGATGTTTAAATGTACTTAGATTTATCTTATCGTTAATCATTTAGTTTAACGGACTAACAATTAGTCATCTCATAGCGAGTGACAAGCTTTGTTTAATAACATGTCCTACTGAGGTAGGTACTCGGAATTTGAAGATGTTTTAATGAGTGGGTGTCAATACTGTACCTATCAAATGATAGAATGTCTATAAATAAAATCATAGTCAACTACTACCGAGAAAGATTTATCATTCAAACATTTCATTGATAAAATTGACTTACCTTAAATTAATTGGGATGATGACAGGGTATGAAAATTAAAAATCTAATTAGTCCGTAAGTTAGATATTGAAAGAATATTAGACACGTATTTTTTTATTTTGTCGTATAATAAAACAATACTTAGATAAAACGAATCAAAGTTTAGGAGTGGGCTCTAAAACGTCATTTCTACGTATAAAATGTACATAGAAGTGACGTCACGCGACATTTCAAATCGATATATCGTCGAAAGTATTCGTTTCTGTTATAAATTAAAAATACGTGTCTAATGATTTAAAATAATCTACCAGACGGATATTAATATAAAAATTATGCATCTACCCTATTAGAATTAAAAACTGTCTCAATTCTTACTCTTCTTTAGGATGTCGTAAAAAAGCCAAGTAGGTATTTAACTAACTTCATTTGTTTTTTAATGCCTCATGCTAGGATTTTCTCCTGTACCGTGGGTGCGTTTACAAACATGCAAGTTCACATACACATGACACCCAGACCCGGAACAACAATCTGTGGATCACACAAAGAGTTGCTCCCTGCGGAATCAAACCCACTTTGCGCGGCACTGGTCTGTCACGGAGTGTAAGATTTGGATATGAAAATTAATGAACAACATCACGCCTTTTATCCCCAAAGGGGTAGCGAGAGGTGCACATTACGGCACTTTTCTAATACCCACATTTCACTATTTATGTTATGAGTTCCATGTTTTAGAGGGTGAGCCTATTGCCATATACGAGGCACAATTCCAGACTCCGTGCTAATACTGAGATTTTTCTTAAAAACCCAGTAATACTTTTTCCCGACCCGGGAATCGAACCGGAGAACTCTTGCCTGACAGTCTCACTTGCGACAACTCGGCCAATGAGGCAGTCAAAAGTAAAAATTAATAAAAGATAATATATTTCCTATCATCTACTTTTTACGCCAAAAAAAATTGCCTATCATGATGGATCAACATTTTAAAAAACAATTCACGGACACGCCCGGCGTCGTAAGGAATACATGACATCATTTATAAGTTTAAAACGACCTTAATAAGGTGCCATTAACCTTACATTTGTAACTACCGATAAAATAGAATATTACATAACGCTAACATATAAACTACTTGGGTTAATGCCAAATATTGTCCGTATAGTAAAACTGATTCGCACTGATCTTGAACGTCCTCTAATAATAAAAGTGATTCTTTTGTTTTTATGCTACCGCATTCATTCATTTATCAATCATTTCTGCCATAGTAATTTTTACTAGTCTCTGTTCACGATTTTTGGTTAAGTACACAAGCACTGATTATAGGGCCATTGAACTCATTTCAATGTTTAGTAAAAACGACATAATTAGTTAATTATCTAGTTCAATTTAATAATTGTATCTAAGAACCAGTAAAGTAAAATAAATCTGTTTGAAAGTCATTAAAAGAGCATAATGTACACTAATTTTATTTATTTCAGCCACAATCTAGATTCTCTACTGGTATAATTAAACATTAATTAAGAATAAACATGCCTAGCCTACACTTGCATTATCATGTTTTTGTTACAAAACCGGTTTCAGTTTGACCGTTAGATTTCATAAGTGTTGGCATACGGTGCCAATAGATGGCGTTAGTGGTCACAGTTGTAGGACTTGTTCGTTAGCGATATTTTGTGTGTGTGACTAATTGGCGCGCGGCACAAACAACCGCGGACGTGTCTAAATAGCTGTTTACTTTACGAGACATAAAACGAAAATTATGTTATCGATTTAAAAGGAAAACGTTGTTTTTCCGGCTTTATTTGAAACATGTAGCTACTTTAGTATGCATTGGATACATGTCATTCTGTCATGTAAACTATTGACCCAATCTTAGTACTTTGCTCGTTTATTGATAGCTAATCTATAGCGATAAACCCTCCTACAGTCCTACATAATACAAAGTACATAGGTACATGTACCTACATCAATAATATTATAATTCAGTACTCTATCTGCGTCGTTGGATTCTGCGCACTTAGGATAGCTGCGTATTAAAGCATAATAGACATTCATGTATGTTACCATTACACTTACATGTAATACCTATGTTTGTAAGCGTGTAGGTACTATACCTACGACCACGCTTAATTAAAATTTAACACCTAGGTAAGTGGTAAAAAATGACGAAACACTAATCTGTTCCATTGTTCATGTTCCATAACTTGGACACAGTACACATTGAAAAATATTTATAAGTAATGTAGGTAATTGTAATTGTAAGGTATCTTTATCAAATCTTTACGTTAATTGACAAGATAACAAACAAATTATACATACATAAGTAGTTTATTTTACGGTCCCCACGAAAGCGTAAATGAAAGTGGACCAATGGAAAGTAAATTGATAGATAACTCGTAAAATTCCTAAAGTGTGTCGATCACAAAATACTTCGTAAACCTTCTTATTATTTTTTATAACGTCCACTTTTTATATCACCTGTTTTCTGATCGTGCAGCAACTACTAGGCGGGTCTGTATCAATTTTGAAAACCAGTGCACTATAGTCACCATTAGGTACTATTGGATTACAATGAAACAGTTACCACAGAACACTCGAAATCGAGACCACGATATGACAAAGAAACTAAAATGCTAGAATCTAGACAATTAAAATTTTAATTGACACAACAACGTACGGCAAGCATGACTCAAGATATTATATGAATATATTCATAAAACATAAACATAACAATTTGAATGAAACTGGTCTGTGGGCTTAGAATCCTGTTATTATTACAATCTAAATAAACCAGCACATTCGAGCCGTGTAACAATAAGGCGTTAACAATCGCTTACGGGGACCTAAAAAGTTCGGCTGCACAATAGTGAATAGCATACAATGGCGATTCTGTTACCTGCGACATCAATATGTGCATAATAGTATGGCGAGGGCAAGGTATGGCGCGCTGTGCGCTGCAGTCAGTCACAGCAGTGATTCAGAGCGCGCTCACCCTGCATGACTGTGCCTGTGCCGACTGCCGCGTGACTCACCCGCCACCGCGCCACCAGCGCCAGGGAGGATGCCAATACACCCATGTTCCGTGATTAATGGAGACGTGAAAGTAGATAATGCCTGACTCCATTATTATTTATTACTCACTCATAAATTATTACTTCTCAGAAAACCGTTTGTTTCTGATTATTCACACATCCGTCGTGACATGAGAAGTCCTGATAGCCGCAGTTGTGATGTTCCTTTAAAACATTAATGCATGCAATTTGAGGGTTAGAGAGTAAGCGATTCCACAAAGAACTTGGTCTTGAACCGGTCGTAAGTCGTTACCTAAGAAGGTAACCGGTCAGGATTTGAGGCCAAGATCGTAGCTCAGCGGGCGCGAGTGTAGCTGACGGCTGTGCTGCCCTACATACGACCTCGCCAGCCGCTATCTTCTTTATAAAGCTTGGCCACGAGAATAACAATGATATCGAATTTATCGAGTCATTGAGCTAGGTCGTAAAGTGAGTCAATGATTCGTTTCTAAACATCAGTATTAACATGCCGTGGGTAAATGGGTACGACCAAACCGGGCCCTTACATGTAACATTACTA